GCTCAACCGACTGCGCCACCCAGGCGCCCCTCATTTTTCTGCCCATCTCTGTTTCTTATTCTGATACCTGGCCCCGTCTTCCATCATCTCTTGACTTTCTCTCTGGCCTCTCTGTCTCTCTTCTCTATGTCCTACATGTCTCTCCATGTCTCACTGTCTCTCCTGCCTCCTTGTTTCCCTTCTACCTTCAGTCTGCTTCTCAAAGCTCTCTTGTCCCTCCTCCCCCTTTCTTTTCCTTTCCCTTTCTTATCGGTCTCATCTTTTTTGCCTCTCATTTCTTGTCTTCTATCAGTTTCTCTTCTCTTCTCTTCTCCTTCCTTCCTTTACCTCACTCTGTCTCCCTCTCTCGGTCTCTCTCTCTGTCTCTGCCTTGCTCCTACTTACTGCGGTAAATGCGAAGGCTCATGGCATTCCAGAGCCTATGAGTCAGGCGCTGTTGTGTCAGGCATGACAGGAGTATTAGAGGAAAACAAATAGATGAAGGCAGAGCCATTCAACATCTTAGAATAAACTGGACGGTCAAAAAACCCAAATTTCCAGAGACTTGGAACTTCCCACCTTTTCAGAAGCTCCTTGCTTTAGTGGCTGATAGGAAAGGGGGAGAAAAGTTGCTGTCAGGGCTGAAACTGGAAGTGTCCTCTTTTCAGTCATGAGGTGGGGGTGGGGCTACTAAAGCACAAGGTCTGCCCTAAGCCAAGGGCACCACAAGCCATTCCATGAGCCATCTCCTTCTGGGGCTTTGGCTAACGTCGGAGGCACTGTTGCTTCTAGTGACACAGCAGAGGGGCAGTTCTTTCCTCACCCTCCCTCAGAGCCAGCCTGTGGACTCACCCTCTCACACCGGGGCAGGCCCAGTCCCCCCAGGAAAGGAGACAAATGAGTCACCAGCGTCCTGTGCCCCTGTGCTCAGTGTAGGCCTTCCTGAGGCCGGAGGCAAAGGGGTTGGAAGGCTGCAGAATCCTCAGGGTAGTGGAGGCAAAACGGGGCACGCTTCAGAATTCTCTGTATTTGTTAAAATGTAGACCCCAAGTTCCACCCCCTAGGCACTTCGGTACATTCGGGGTCTGCCTAAGATCTCGTATTTTTAAATCACCCGAAGTCGGTTTGTATCTCTTCTAGCCTCTGTCCCTCCAGGAACAGCAACTGCCCATCAGAAGGAGGGTTCTAGTAGCATCAGTCTCTGGCAGTGGCCCCAGCCACCTCTTCTCAGCACTTGGCTGGGGAGGGGCCTTTGGTGCCAGCTGTTATCCAAAGATGTCGTCGCCGGCCATTATCCTGTTTCAAAATGCTGAGGCATTACCCTGGGGCGTGGGGTTATAGAGACCTGCGCTGCACCCTCCACGCTACCTGGACAACCGTGATTAAGGAAACTATTCCTAATTCTGGGGTTTTTTTTCCCTGCTGAGAAATGAGCAGCCCCTACACATGTCCTTAAGAAGAAGGCAGGACTTCCCGAGTGGAAGCCCTTTAAACTGAGCAACAATCACCATTTGTGACACTTACTTTTCATCAGTGATGCCCCAGTGCCTATGGAACCGGCTGCAGGGAAGACTCCACCATTGGGCAGCCCCTTAGCCTGGGGTTTAGGGGTGCAAGCGGTTCTTCGAAGGCCTGAATAGCTCTATTTTCTTCCCTCATTAGCAGGGCACAGAGATCGCGGAAAGAGGAATCTTAAGGTTTCTGACAGTAAGGTGCCTGGTGGTCAACCTTGGAGAGCGGGCAGCCTGTGTGTAATTACCTGGTTCCCAGAGCCTCTGAGGGGACAGACTTAATGGGACCATGAGCCATTTTTGCTGCTGTTTCTGTTACTCACCCCTGCCCTCAGCTCTCTGCCTTTTCTCTTCACATGCGTAGAACCGGCCTCTGAACTAGGTCTGGATACAGCCAGTGCCCTGCAGAACATCATTGTCTGGGGCCGTGTGCACATCCTTCCCATCCAGACTGTGGCACATCCCGGGTCTCCCTCAATGCTTCAGGGATGACGAGCACCCTGCGGGGGCCCAGAGTCTCACGGAAGGAGGGAGGGGTGCTGATAGGGAATGGAAGCAGTCCCTAGGTCCTGGTGTGTTGGGTCCAACGACTAGGCATGGGCTCTGGGGTGGGAGGTCTGGAAGGACAGAAGTCAAGGTTCTGTGGCTTCAAACTAAAGGCAGCACAGAGAATCTGGCTACAGCTTCTTTGGCTTCACATTTGTTTATTTTGAAATTTAATTTTCCACCAACATGGCCCATGTTAGTTAACTTCCTTCGGGAAGGCCCAGTCCATCATAAAGAATCATTTATTCATTCCACAGATATTGTATTTGAGAGCTACAGAAATCACTGCCATCCTACGGATCTCTTAATCTAGAAAGTCACCTGAAACCCAGAGTGAAGACCCACCTTGTTGAGTGATCATCAGTTTCTTTTCTGTGTGATTGCACGTACACGACCCACACACACAAACTCACACGCACACGATCCAAGGTGCCAAGACTAGAGATGCCGATCCCTCTATATGTAGGGGACCCACTGACGAGGGGGTTGACTGGCAGGGAGAGTATTAGGGACAGCACTGAGGAGAATGAATTTAGCATGGCTGATGGAGTCTGCAGTCTTGGAATCGGGCACTGCTGGGGAGTGGTTCTGCTTCTCAACTCCCGCATCAGAATTCGTTCTCCATTGTTGATTATATATGTCATATTTCTTTGTACCAATCCTGCAGTCCACCGCTGAGGAACAAGTTAGTGTGTAGAAAAAGTTGTACATGAAAGGGAGATGTGGCATCTTTGGTATTCAACATTTTATTACTTTTCCTCCCTTCTAATGACCTTTTCCTCAACAAATCCAAGGAGAAGAGGAAGGGAATGAGCTAGGTCGAACTGGCAACCTAGAAGGGCCAGGCTTTTCACTTAGAAATAGAATAGGGGTGCGTGGATAGCTCCGCTGGTTAAATGTCTGATGATTGATTTTGGCTTGGGTAATGATCTCATGGTTCATGAGATCAAGCCCCACATTGGGCTCTGCGCTGACAGCACAGAGCCTGCTTGGGATTCTCTCTCTCTGCCCCTCCCCCACTCACGCATGTGCACGCACCCTCTTTCTCAAAATAAATAAACTTAAAAAAATACCTTTAAAAAAAAGAAACAGAACAAAATTGGGGCACCTGGGTGGCTCAGTCAGTTGGGCTTCTGACTCTTGATCTCAGCTCGGGTCATGATCTCATGGTTTGCGAGATCAAGCCCTGTCTCAAGCTCTGCACTGATGGCATGGAGTCTGCTTGGGATTCTCTCTCTCCCTCTCTCTCTGCCCCTCCCCTACTATTCATGTGTGGTCTCTCTCTCTTACTCAAAAAAAAAAGAAAAAAGAAAAGAAAAAAAATAGAACAAAATCTCCGAATTCTTGGGAAGAAAGTTCTTGGGAAAGAAAGTATGTTCATTACTATACAGTCTTTTGTCACAACAAAACATACAATGATGTTCAAAACCATACTTTAACACTCTAGTCTCTCAGCGTCCCTTCATTCATGTTTTAGGAATTCACCTGCTGTAGGTCTCACCTGGTCAGGGTGCCGATCAGTGATGGTTTGCTCAAGAAATCTCTGGCACTCTTCCCCCTGTTCAACACGGTAGGCTTGCTCTAAATGGCTAAGTGACCTGCTTCCCAGGTTAGAGTAACATAATTATCAGGCTATCTGCTCTGAATATTTGATACCCCAGCTACGTTTTTGGAATCCCAGTGGCTTTAATGTGGTTCTGTCTGGCCTATCATAGGCGGCGGTGGTAGAAGAAAATGTGCAGAGACTGAAACAGCGAATTATGGCTCCCCAGGACGTCTCTAGAGCTGGTCGCGTACAAATGAAAGAGGTACCGTTAAGCCTTTTTAGAGCTATCGTTTTCTCTGAAAGATAATGCAAATCTTACATCTGGTTGGGAAATCAGAACTCTCTACAAGGCAGGTGGCCTACACGGTATTTTGAAGTAATCACCTCTCCTTTCTCATCCGCTTAGCAACAAATAGTTCCATCGTTTTAGTTAGGTCAATCAATATTTATACTTACTTGATAACTGGGGAATTGATATGCTGGAGGCCTTTCAGTTACCTGATCCAATATTTGTCTCTTTGCAATGTGCTGTTCAAATTCAACCTTGGTATAAGGAAAACTTTAGCGACAATAAATGAGTTTAAACTTCCGTATCGGCCAGCAGAGGCTGGAAAGATCTATCCCTGAAGATCGTTAAAAACAAAACAGACAGCAGCTGTCTGCAGTTCAGCCCACATTTACTGAGTCTACAAAAGCAAGGTGTTAAGCACGCAGTGCCTCGGGTAGTGTCTCTTTAACCTCATTGTTTTTCCTTCCAGTTACAAAAAGGTTTAGAGTTTAGAAAGGATTTCCACACATATGTTGATACCTTATCCCCCACAATAGTGCAAGGAGATAGGAGTGGGACATTACCCCTATTTCATGTGCATTACGTGGCCAATTAGTGGCACTAGTTTAAGTGTAACCCCACTTAAAGATATCACTCGATGGGTTCATGCTATATAGTTATCAGTCTGTATCTAAAAATGAGCTACTTAAAACTAAGGTATTTATTTTATAGTCAAAATTGCCTGCGACACAGATTACCGGAAACCTGTAGAACAAGTCTCGATGTCGCCATACTTGGACAGACAGTATTATTCATGAAAACAGGACTGTTTTGCTTCAGAAGGTTATGACAAAAGGGCAAGACAACGCCTCCTTATAAAAAGTAGATGTGTTCACCAGGATGCAGCCTTTTCAGAAAAGCAATAAACTAAATCCAGATGTATGAACGTAGTCGTTTCCAAAATTTTCTCTCCAAGGCAAAATTATATACGTAACGAGTATTTGTAGTATAATGGATGGAAACGTACCTGCGTATCCATCAAAGAAGGAAGTGCAGGCCTCATGCTAGAAATACCGAAGTATTCGTGACTACATGTTCACTGTTGCATTCCCCAGCCCACAGAACAGAGGGTAACATTTGTGGTGCTCGACAAATATGTACTGACTTAATAATGAATAAATGAAACACGGTTAACCCCTGCTAACAACAGTCGGGCGTTCTTGAAGCACTTGGGAATAGCTTACGCCAACCAGTCATGGAGTCCTGCAAATGACATAACTGAGGGGCTGTTTGTAGACAAGCCGATGGTACCCAGTTCATCGGTCCGAGGTCCCTAACCTGCCGTCTGTGAGCTTAAGGAGGAACAGTGTCTCCCCGACCTTGTGCCGTACCCCTGACTACGTCACTGACTCCAGTCACAGGTGGTGAGACATAAAAATCAGCGTACCTGGTACATGTTAGGTATTCTGGCACAAGTAAGATGGGGAAGAAGTCCCAACCGAGCCGCAGCCAGGTTTGGGGAGATGATCTGTACACCGGATTTGTCCAGGGCTCCTCTGTGCCCTCCAATCAAAGCTAAAGACAGACTGGGTTCTAGAGACTGAGGACCAGCGAATTACATTTTAATTTGCTTCCTTGGCCTATGGTACCCCGTGTGAAAAAGAACTCAGTCCTAAAGACCAGTTGCCATATCCAGTTGACCTTGGAGCCTCGGCCGGGGGCCCGAGGGGTGGGGCAGGGAAAGGGCCAAGTCCACACCGTGAATGTGAGACCTTGGCCAATTCACTGCTCCCTGTGCCTCCGTTTTATCATCTTCATCAACACGGCAGTTACCATGTAGTGAATGTTTCATATGTACCAGGAATTTTATGAACAGCTTATTAATGGTGCCTCACTTTACTTTCAGTCTTGACATAAACACTAGCATGTAAACATTATTATCCCATTTTACAAATGAAGAAATTGAGGCACGGAGATATCAATTAAATTGTGCCGTAGCAAATAACAGGCGAGCAATGGAGAAGGAATCAGGGTCGGTTATCAATGGCACACGGCGCTGTCCCGCTCCCATAGTAAGGGGGGCATTTATGCCCCCCAGAAGGACTGGTGTGAGAATTTAATGAGATAATAAATGAAAAGCACATTTTCCAGTGCCTGCCATGGACGAGCTACTCAACATACGATATTCAGAATCCGATCATTATCATGCCCACACCGTGTCCACGAGCAGACCTTCATCCAACTAGAGAATGTGCGCAGGAGTGTGGGCTCATCACGCCTACGAGCCACCAACAGCGTCCGTCTGGGCTCTCTCTCTGGCAGTGTACCAGATGCTGGGAGAAGTGCCCGGTGATGGGAGGAATGGCCATTGTTTATGGCGGACAGCTCAGAGAGAAGACAATAACACTGCTAGACCGCGGGTGACAGACGAGGCCAGCCAAACACGCCTACGTGCTGATGTAAGAGTAACAATCACGCAGGAGACGAAAATGTCACCTCTACTCATGGGAGATGTGACGTAAATCAGGAGAGCTGGAGCTCAAATGCAAAGTTGGATGACTGAATTTATCATGCATGGTCCAAGTATTGCAGCATCATAGAGACACTAATAAACTAATAACATAAAAGAATAAATTAGCCAACACTCAACACTCCCGCCTGTAACTGTGGCACAGAAGTGAACGTATATGTAGCATCTCGCCAGCACAGCAGAAAGGTTAAAAGTGTGGCCATAGTCCTGGTGCCACTGCTTACTCACCACATAGCTAAGGCAAGTTCCAGTTGCTTTAACTAACAAATAATAATAATGGTGTGTTGTCTACTCTATAGGTCGTTGTTAGGTTTCAGTGAATGAGCAGACGTAAGAATTTAGAATAATTCATGGCACACATAAGAATTATTTGCTATTTTAATTTTCTTTTGTATTACAGAGTGAAATTATTTTAATACGAGAGAGTCGTAAGATAGTGCCTGGGACATAGTCAACACTGACAAATTTATTATTAAAATTAGGATTATTACTCTGGATCGGAAGCTTGCAGAAGGCAGATACCCACAGTGTTTCATTCCCAGTACGGGTGCAATACTGTTTGAAAGAATCAGTGAATCAAACATGGCAATCCAGGGCACAGAACTGCAATCTGAGCTCTCACTCTTGAGGAACCCAAGCCCTTCTGCCCTATAACAGGTCTCACCGTGGCTTTTTCCCAGGGGGCACTGGCCAGTGTCACCGACTGCTATGTCTCTCCATTTCTGTAGCTTGCCACTATGTTCTTGTCTGAGGATGAAAACTTCCTTCTGCTCTTTCGTCAGGAAACCCCCTTGGACAGCAGCGTGGAGTTTATGCAGGTAAGTGTTTGACTGTATCTCTATGGTTGATGAGGGTTGAGAAGAGACCAGGGCCCCAGCCACCTACTGTGGTGGCCACCACATCTCCCCAGTCCCCAATGGAGAGCTGCCCATGGAGGACAAGATCGAGCAAAAGAAGCCCTTGGTGACAAGCCAGAGCTTTGGCCCCAAGTCCCCATGTGCCCCCATGTGCTCCGTGGGACCCGGACTGCTCCTGAGCAGACAAAGTCCTTCAGCCTGGGCTAGGGGAGGCCTAGACAACATCCAGGCAGGTGCACACAGAGGAAGGTAACGGGGGTTTGCTGGGGACTGGGGAGCCCAGAGATCAGGTGCCTCCCCCAGGGAGCTCCAGAGAACGGCTGCCTTATAAGAATGCCCTCTGGCCATCTAGACTCTGTGTGAAACTACTTGTTTTCAAATGTTGGCAGTTAATCCTAGTTTTGAAGGTATAATACTGTGAAAGAGGAGGACAGAAGATCCAAAGCAGGCTCGGTGCTGAGAGCAGAGAGCCCAAGGTGGGATTTGAACTCATGAACTGTGAAATCATGGGCCAAAACCAAGAGTTGGATGCTTAACTGACTGAGTCACCCAGGCGTCCCAGGATCCTTTAAGATGTCATTACCCAAGGTTAAAAATATCTTTACCCTCTGACTTAATAAACTTCTACTGCTCCAAGCATCTATCTGAAGGGTATAATCAGAAATGTTTATATTCGGAGGAAATGCATTACAACGTTAAGGACCAAAATCGTACATGCGTTATGATCTTAACATTATTTTAAAAATCGTTCATCCTAACACATACATAAATTAGACCATAGGGAAATACACACAATATAGATACTGATTGCTCTTAAGCAATTAAGATTTTGAATGCTTTTCATATACTTTGCACTTTTATGTTTTCCAGTTGTGTACAGAATCATAATTATTTACAAATTATTTTAAGTGGCATTTTTGAAATTTTAATTGTGCTTAAAAGTGCCTAAAAGAACATTTTAAATGAAAATAATCAGCACACGGCCCAAGTATACGGCCTCCAAGTTAGTCTTGTCAGGTGTATCATAGAAATATGATGGAAAGGAAACACACAAAAATCCTAAGGGACCATCTCTGGGTAAGTAGGTTCGGACATTATACTTGTCTTCTTCTTGTAGTTCGTTAAGTTTGTACAGTGAATCTGATTTACTCTTATAATCAGAAAAACAGTATTAAAATGTTAGGGCGTGCGTTGTACCGAATAATGTCAAGGAATGGGAAAAAGGAAATAGCACAACGGCACCGTCCTCTTCTAGTTTCTCTTTTACCATCTGCCTCCCCCCTCCTAGCTTGTCCACTGCTTCTAACAAAGAAGTTTTCCTTCCCCTACCCAATTAAAAAAATAGATAGATAGAGATATGGATATAGGTATCACTTCAGACTCTTGATTATTATTTTTAAAATTTTTTTAATGTTTATTTATTGAGAGACACAGAGACACAGAGCACGAGCAGGGGAGGGGCCAAGAGATGGAGAGACGCAGAATCGGAAGCAGGCTCCAGGTTCCGAGCTGTCAGCACAGAGCCCGACGCGGGGCTCAAACTCACGAACCACGGGATCACGACCTGAGCCGAAGTCGGATGCTTAACTGACTGAGCCACCCAGGCGCCCCAACTCTTGATTATTTTAATTAAGTTTGTTATAACCTATTAGTATCCTATATATTTTTAAAAATTCGAAGTTAATGCGTTTATGTTCTCCCTGAGCCCCAGGACCTGAAAACCCTTTAATCCTGACACACTGCTCGGAGCTCCTGTGCCACGACTGCCCAGGGTATCACTTCCGTCTTGCTTTCCTTAATTCTTACAAACGTGACGCAGTGAAGATTTGTTTCCCAGCGTCTTTGTGCACCATTCCTGTCTGTGACTCAGATTCTCCTTCTTTGTGTTCCTCCTTCCTGGAGTATATCCTTCATGCAAAGTCTGTTGGCAAAAACTCTGTTTTGTTTTCCCAGAAATCTCCTCGTTTTGCTTTCATTCTTTAAAGACAGGCATGCACGTGATCACAAAAAAAAATCTTTAGCCCTCCAATGACTCAGTTGTAGTAAAATTATAAAAGTAGATGGAATAACATGGGGAAAAAAGCATGTAAGACGGTGTTGTTCATTATTTGAAATTCTTATTCTCCGTTTTGGTATATTTGGTAATATACCAGAATATATCAGAATATAATTTACATTTAGCGAGTTGATTTTGTAAGTCTGGCTGAATTCAGGCAGACGTGTTGCCATCAGGGACCGCAAGGCGTGACGCTTCCCAACCTTCCCGCGACCCCTCGGTACCCCGACTGTCCCCATGGGGTGCTGGGCTGGTGGACCGGTGTTGAGAATTAAGGTCCCTGCAGTCGGTGAGTCAGCTGACCCATTCTACATCTACAGGAAATCTTGTCGATTAGAAACAACAACTTAGTGCTCCTTTTCCATTCTGCCTACGACTTAGAAAACTTGCCAACCTGTGATGCTCATACATGGAATAATCAGAAGCGGCCCAAACCACACCACGCAGTAGAGAAAGCAGTTCAGTGTCTAAGAATGTTCAGTTCCGTCTTCCAGTGTAGTGACTGTATCTTCGGCTGGATGAATGCTACCCTCGTAGCAATGAAAGTGTTGTCTCGTCACTGGGAATTAGCCGAGATGTTTCATTCCCTTTACCCAGAGCCAAGGCCACCCAGCCAAGCTTCTTTAAGGCCTTCCGGCAGCAGTGTATTTGGGAGGGGTTCACCCTTTCGTTAAGTTTATTGCTATTGGGGCTTTTAGTTCTATGCAGGTGCCTCGGTTTGACTACCTCCTGGGCCCCAGGATTTGTCTCTTGTTGACCTTGTGTGCAATTTCCTGATAACGCTGCAGGCTAAATTGTCAGAGTCACCAGATGTACCAGGGACAGACTCTGGTTTCAGTCCTCCACGACCTCTCTGGGTTTGTGCTTGCTTACATGGTCACTGGACCAGTAAATGGACGTATGGCTTTTGTGTATTTCAGATTTGGCGCAAATATGATGCTGACAGCAGTGGCTTTATATCAGCTGTTGAGCTGCGGGTAAGTGTGGGGACCCTCGCTGGGTGGATGTGGCCTTGCTCATCACTGGGAACTTGATATATGGACCATGAATTTAATTCCTATGGGCCCGAGAAGCATGCGTTTGAATTTGTTACTTAAAAAAAACCAAAAACGTATTTGTATTTAAAAGGTTTAGGACATGCAAATAACATTGCTCTCTCTGGGAAAGAGACGTAATTAAGGAATTTTTGACACTTTTTCCATGCCTGGAGTCATCCTCTGAATTCTGTGAGCTCCCTTTATTTTAAAGTTTTTATTTATTTATTTTGAGAGACAGTGAGCAGGGGAAGGGGAGTGAAAGAGGGAGAGAGAGAGAGACCGAGAATGCCAAGCAGGCCTCGCTGTCAGTACAGAGCCTGATGTGGGACTCGAGTTCACAAACCATGAGATCATGACCCAAGCCAAAATCAGGAGTTGGACGCTCACCCGACTGAGCCACTCTGGTGCCCCTGTGAGCTCCGTTTAAACAGCGAGAGCCCTCCATTCTTGGATTTATTTGCTTCCTAAAAGCAGTTTGTTTTCTCCTAAAAATAAAAAAAAAACCACAATGCCTAAAATAAGGCGTCCCAAGATCGTTGTGGTTTATTTGCTCCCCATATAAGATGTGACTCTTCTCTCGATGTCACAGAACTTCCTCCGAGACCTCTTCCTCCACCACAAAAAGGCCGTCCCTGAGGCTAAGCTGGATGAATACACCGGCACCATGGTAAGTAGCTGGGCAGTGTGATCTCACGAGGGCAGCCCCCCTGATGCCTCCCCGGGGCCCAGAGTCGGTACCCGGGAGCACCTGCAGACTGAATGAATACAAGAGAAACCTCAAGTCTGGGAAACGTCGGCTAAAACTGAGCTGTTCTAGCCTCTCTCTGAGGACAGGACCGCGTGTATTTGAGAGGAAAGCTGTTCGCCTGTCCCTGGGGAGACCCAGAAAGTGCGGTGAACATCGGTTACCAGGCACCAGGCCAATAACCTCGAAGCCACTTGAAGTCACACAGAAACGGGTAAACATGGACAATCAGTCCCAGGCACAGGGGAAGCCACTTCTTGCCACGAGTCTATTCACGTGGCATGTTGTTCGAGGGCAGCTGAGAGTCGGACAGATGGGAGACGTGCGTCCCGCGTCTCCCACTTATAAGCTGCGACCTTGGGAGACTGTCAACCTGTCCATCTTACTAGTTCATCCGTAAAATGGGGGTTAATGGTACCTACCTGCTGTGAGGGCAGAGCGAGCCGATGTCTCCGAAGCACTTTGCAGAGCGTCTGGGACATAATAGGCGTCCGTACCTGTTAGCTCTTACTGTGGCAGTTGCTGTGGTCCTTGTTGTCATTAGGCTTCCACGACCAGAATGACCCTGAGATCGTTTCGGTGAAAAATGACAGCATGGGAGAGCTGCCTCTGGCAAACGCATCCTCATCTAACACGATGCATTTCTCCAGCCACCAATCAACAGTCTGGCTTCCCTGCCGTTCGTGTCCACCCCCCACCCCCTTCCTTCCCCCAGACAAGTGCTTCGGGCCAATCGGACGCTGTCGTTTTCTCAATCAAGAAGCCAAGAAATTGCTGGTGAAGGCTTACTTGCTTGTAGGATTGTTAGGCACAGGAAGACTTCCAGCACAGATTCACGTTACTGGGCTTCCTGGTGAGCAGTTGGGAGCACGTAACACCAAGAAGAGTCGGTGAATTCTCGTAAAATGTGTGCCACTAGGTTGCCCTCTGGAGGCCTCGAGCTGATTTGGTATTATTTCTGGTATAAATAAATACGGTATAATTTCTGATGCCGTCTCTGCAGGGTTGGCATTGTTCATGCCATTTCGTATATCTGATGCTAGAGGCTTAGAAAGGCTAAGTGACCGCGTCACCACCAAGTTGAATTCTTAAACTCGCTTTGAAGATCAGGTGACTGGGAGAAGTTGAGTTACCCGGCCAAAGGCACCAGTTAAACTGGAAGCTAAGCTCTCTTGGTTTCCAGCCTCTTACTCTGCACCCTGTCCGACGCTGACCCCCAGGCCCCGGGCGCCTGCCCTGGGGAGGAGGGAAGGAGAAGGGCGCTCTTGACCGTGATGGCTTGTAAATGGCCTAGGCAGAAGTGAAGCTGATGCCAAGGGCAGAATCAAACCCCAGGCCAGGATCTCAATCAAGGAAACAATTCGGCTTCTTGGTATGTTGGACCTCTTTTAATAACACGCAAATGGTGTTCGAGATCCTGAGTGAGTACGCACTCAGCACGAAAGAGCAAAGTGGGAAATCTAGAAGCAGGAAGCAGGGAAATCTCGAGGTTTCTTCCCACCTGATTTCCAGCAGCACCTGCCAGCATGGTAAATACCACGGAAAGGGGGAGGTCACCGTAACTGCCTGAGAATAACAAGCAGGTTAGGTTTCCAGATGAGCACTTTCCACCCTTGATCCAACCCGGCGTCAGCACCGGTTGTTTGTAACCTTGATTTTATTAACTTCCAAAACATGCACTACAAGATGAAATACTCTCACTTAGAATCGCCAGGATGTTTCTAATATTTCTTTGATTGCCTTTGAATCCGAGGCCCTCCGCCTCCAACTACGATACTAAACGGCTACGTTCTCACGTAACATGGCTCAATTCTCTTCCCTACTTTTATTCTCCCGGTTCTTGCTTGTCCTTCAAGATTCAGTGAGACATCATCGTGGCCTAGAAAACCTTCCATAACCTTCTTCTGTAGTGGATGCAGGTGCCTCTCCCCTGGGGGTCCCATATCATTGTCTTCACATCAGTCACCCATTTAACCCAGGCTGCAAATATCCACTAAATATCTGCCACGCCCCTGGCACTCCTCGAGTCGCTGGGGATCCAGCAGCGAGCGAACCAGACAAAGGAGAGACTGACAATAACCATAAACATAATAAATAATAAATGATATCGCATGACAGGGGTAACGAGTGTTATGGGAAAGATGAAAAAGTAGAACAGGGCGAAGGATGGCCATGCCAGCAAGGTAGCTAGGATCGGAGGCTGGGGAGTGTAATTTTCACCCTTCGAGGAGGTGAGGCTTGAGGAAGGACCGAGGGTACCGCAAAGCACAGAGACCCTGGGGCAGTAGCCTGCCTGTGGACTTCAAGGACAGGGAGACACGAGTGTGGCTGGAGCACAGAATTCAAGGGCAAGACTTAACGGAGGCCAGACCCCGTGGGGCTTCTTAGCCACTGTGAGAACGTATGACAATGAGTGAGATGGAGAGCCACCAGAGGGGCAAGGAGGGAATCAGGAAGACCTGTGAAGAGGCCACCACTGCCATCCGGGTAAGAGAGGGTGGCAGCTCGGAGGGGGTGGGGCAGCAGAGGAGATGAGAAGGATTGCGAAGGGGAAATCAACAGGATTGCCGATGAGTCAGCTGGAGTCAAGGGCAGCACGGACATCACTTGTTCACCACTTGTTCTTTACTAGCCAGTGACTCCTCTAGGGCGAGGGCAGGTGGCAGGGCCTAGCACACAGTAGGCTACTCCGTGCCCATTGTCAGAACTGAATTTGGGGTCATTACCTAACAGCCAGCTCAGAAGAAACCAGGACAACAAAAGCAAGGTTTGCTCTGGGGACCCTCCTTGAGAGCCTCCACCTCCAGTAAGGCTCATGCTCCCCATCGGGGAGCCTCGTAGATGGCCCATCGCACAGATCCGCCCTTCCTCAAGCTATGTTTGGTGTCCTGGAACTCTCCTTTGATTTCTTCCTCTTTGTACACCAGACCCTCTAGGACAGAGCCAGGAGGAGTGCTCGGGAGTATTGGGCTTGATCCCTTAGGGCTCTCCCTGGGGTCCTTTGTCCCAGAGACTCATCCACAGGGGTCCCCACCGGGCAGGGTATGGGCTGTGCTGAGCCCAGGGGCAGACCCAACAGGGCGGCTGGAGCCCCATGCTGATGACGAGAAGTAGGAGGGGCAGGAAGGCAGGAGTGGGGGGTGAGAGCCGGAGGGTGTGGAGGAAGAGAAATGCACATAGAAAAAGACAATCCGAGTAGGACAGGCCCGGGATGTGTCCCAGTGGATTCCGAGTTCACACCCCTAAATTCCTGAAGTTGAATCTGACATGCTTTTTCTGGGCTGAGGAGTGGGGTCACAAAGTGACCCACAGCACCCCCTCTGTCACCAAAGCCGGCACCTTCTTCATGCTCCTCTTCCAGGTCAGAATATGACCTGGTTACCTGGTTGAAATGAAGATGTGAGTTCATTTAGGGAGAACTTACCAAGAAAGATATGGTCCCTGACCTTCTGGAGTCTTCTGATGAGGGAAAAATTGGTAGAGGAGGGGAAAAAGCAAAAATTCACTCTGGCCGCTCCCTTTCATCCCCACTGCGCACGTCTCTGCCATCGACCATCGACCATCTCGATATCCGGTTCTCCTGACTTTTCAAAAATAAGGTAGGTTACAATGAAGCCACCGTTCTAGACCTTCAGCAAAGGCAGGACAAGAAAAGGTAGATGGACAGAGTTCAAGCTGAGTTGTTTCAAGATGCCGTCTCAGCAGAGTGCACGTGGCATTTTATTTTCACCGCGACAAGGCCAGCATTTACTCGCGTACTGGGTGCTTTAATTGTAACAACTGCGTGTTCGCTCTGTGCCGAGCTCCGTGCAAAGCGCTTTGCAAACATTTGATTCTCACAGCAACCATATAAACTAAGTATGTTTTGCCTCTCATTTTATAAATGAAGAAACTGAGGGTTACAGACTTTAACAGGTTAAATACAGTCGGGATGCAGCGGGGTGGAAATGCCTACCCACATCTACCTCCGAAGCCCGTATTTTCCACCACGGTACCCACGTCCGGAAGTTTAAATACTAAGTCATTAAAAAGAAAACTTTCAAAAGGGGAAGAGTGAACTCTATGGAGAGATCAAGAAGAGAGGACAATTCCTGAAGGAAGAGACGATCAAGGTGAGGACAAAGCCACGTGAAGAGATTAGGATTCTCTTAATATTTTTAAAGATAAGATAATGCAGGAGCTCATGCTATCAAGCGGCACCAGAATTCGTTACCTAGGAAAATGGATCGTTCTCCTCCTGAAGTCCAGAAAGGATCCTAAACGCTGACATCTTATTAAACACAAAATAGGAAGCAAATTAACGAGAGACCACGGGAACAGGAAAGGGTTCTACAAACTTGCTCTGGGAAAGAGACTGCAGATAAGCTGATGCAGGGGGCCAGGGAGGAAGAGTGGCCTGTGACTGCAGAGAGCCCCAGGGTCGGCTCATTCAAACAACCCACTGTCAGGGAGGGGAACGGGCCTGAAGGAAACACGTGGGTGGCTGGGAACGCCAACACTTGGCTGAAAAGACCATGCACATCACCCGTCAGCCCGGCCACGCTGCCCGCCCAGAGCGATTATCTTCACACACAGCCTTTGGCTTTCAGTTTGACAAAGCCCAAGGCGGGCAGAAAATCTGGCAATGTGCAGTTTTTGATGGCTCCGAGCTCAGCCTTGGAAGCGTGGAATCCTGTACAGCAGCTGAGGAGGATCGGAGTGGTCTCACCCAACTTGTGAGTCTCTGGGTGGAGGACCGTCCATTGACCAAGACTACGCTGTTATCCTGTTGTCTGTCTCATTGCCAAAAACTTGTGGTTCTTCCGGTTGTGCTGTGGTTAAGCACTCATTTTTCGATCCAAACTGTCCCGTGAAGATAGGCTCGTGATCAATCAAACTCTGAGTGGCCCCTCACTGGTTCTTTCTGCTCTGAGGTGATAGGTAAGTGTTGAGGAATCAGATAAGAGTTTTCACCCAAAGACCTACTCTGACCAGAAGACTAGAATGAGCATAATGAGATTATGGCCTATTTCATGTTCCTTCCTGAAATTATAGAGGCAACTTACACTTTTCCAATGAACAGACTTGGGAACTGGACTGTAGTGTTTTTTTTTTTTAAGACTTTTTACATTTCCCTAGTGATCTGTGGGTGAACTAACTTTCAGAAATTCAATATTCTCAGAAGAGATTTTAGAACCTTAGCCCTGAGTGATCCACCAAGTGTGAAATCACCTTACTGCCTCTGTAATGGCTTTTTATTGAGCGACGGATACAGTCGGGGCAGCCCTGCATGACAGATTTGGTTCCAAGGTTTGGCATTAAACGCCTTCCTTCAGAAATATAACCTGCTAAATGAATTCAAATGGAACCACACGAGGGCTGGCACCTTTGAAAGCTGTCTGAAGCCCGAACAATGAATGAGTCATGGCAGAGCACCCGATCATAGGAGAAAAGTTGAGGTCTGCAGACCTAATCTTATTCTAACTCCTAACTAACGTTCTGGACAAGGGAGGAAACAGCCTGTTAACAAAATCCAATTAGGACATCTAATTGAGAGGTTCTGCCAATACCTGGTGGGAGGAAAGATTCGCTGTCTGAATAGAATAGCATTAGATAATATTGAGCTTTTAAAAATGTAACTGAATACATGTGGGAGATGTTAAGCTCACATACCCAATTAGAGCATGGAGCTTGAGCTATTGTAAACCTGCAGATTAAAATCTGCAGACAATGGCAGACAAAGAGACATGAGGTTAAACTTGTGCCATCCTCTACCCTGGTCCCAGCTCCTGTCCTTTGGGATTGGATCCAAGTAGCTGGCTTCCTCCTGTGGTGTAGGCACTCAGCTCTCTGATCCACACTGATGTGAAACATGTCTGGACCCAGTCTCGAGAGTTCTTTGCTTCTGTGCCCACCCTCCCTCTGCTGGTGACCTCAACCAGCCTCGTGGCTTGAAATACCAACTAATGGTGATGGCCCTCAATTCATAGCTCTGACTCGGACCACTTCTCGGAACTTCTCAGGTGAACCACGTGGCCAGTTTTCTGATGGGTAGAAGCATAATTTATCACATTGGTGGTCAGTTGTTCCTCAAGCCAGTTTTGAGCAAAAGGTAGGTATTTTCCCCCTTTGAGTAATTTGTACAGCTATGGAGATGGGCCCACATCTTTCAAGGTGAGTTACTACTTGCTTCAAGCTCAACATAATCTAGCTATTAATAGAACGTCTCGTAATGGTGGTGTCATGGAAAATCATGGCTCAGTCTTTAGCCAAGTGTATTGCCGTCAGACTTTTGCTGGATAGAGAATTTATTCTTAAGGGACACAAAGGGATGTGTAATATATCCAAATGTATAAAAATATAACCTGCATTTTAATAGGTTCTGCAACATACACTTTTGGTGCTAAAGTTTTAGAGAAATGGGTTTTCAAATTCATTTCAAATATTAAAACTAAACTGGATTTAGGGAGGGACGAAGGATGGACTGACATGTTTTTTAATGCAAAAATCGGTTACATATACTCTCAGATTTCTTCACCCCATCTCTCCCCGTGTATAGCCTCTTCTTACAAATACATTTAGAGCTGCTGTACTAAATGTGGCGAAGTCACAAAGTTCACTCACACTAGGACTCAAATATGCAGTGAAATGTCTCCCCTCCATCTTGATTAACCTAATCCGATCTTCTTGATTTTAACTTTTAATCCTATCTTGTTTAAAACCTCATCTGATCCTATGATTTAAATAGGATCCTCTTTGGATCATGTTAAGTCTTTCTACAAAAGGAAAAGCTGAGCCTCTCAGATTTCTTAGTCACCTTCATCCAACCCGGACTCTTCTGCAAAAATGGCATCAGGTTAGAAAGAATGGCTTTGGGCCCAAGTGGGGGAGGGGAGGAGCCGAGGTCCCTGGGCACAAGGCTCTCTGACTCCTCTGGTCCCGGGGCTGGGGCCTCTTGGCCACTCGGTTGCTGCTACCTTGCTGGTATTCACAGTGGAAGTGTGTGATGAACTCATAATCCGTGTTCTTAGCTTTGGCTAGCCCATTGGGAAGTACAGACTAGTCCAGCAGCCATCCTTTACCTCTTGCTGGATGTGGGCCATTAATCCTCTGCCACATCTGTATCGAAGTCCACATGTTCTTGCCACAGGACAGACCAGTAAGTCGAGAGGCAAGATGGCGGCTGTTGTCTCAAAGCACATGTCCCCTCAGCATGAAATGTGAGCTTCCTTTATGTTAGGAAGAGGGAGAAGGGGAGGAGGTTGGAGTCAAGAGGTGATGGATGTCTGTAGGCATTCAGAAGCCCACAAGGGTCCAAGGAAGGTTGTGAAACTGTTCTGTCCTTGGTCACTTGGCCTTTGTGTACGGGAATCTGGTCATGGCATTCCCATAAATCTTAAACATAGCGTTATTATTTCTTTATGTACTTCCTTCTCCCCTTGGGTGAAGTGGGTTTTGGGTAAAGCGTGGTTTTTGCACATCTTAGCTGTAACCTGCAGGGCTGAGCAGAGAGGTTTTCTCTCAGCGACAGGTCACAGCAGTGAGGGAAACAGAAGCCACAGGGAGTCAGACATGCTAAATGTCTCCCTAACGTACATCCTCTTATCAGCCCATGGCTCTGGGGTCTGCCCCACCCTCTGGTCCAGCATCATCTCATCCCATCACAGTCCACTGGATCTCAACCCAGCATCCAAACGCTTGGGTGTTCAGAGCGTCTCTGGAAAGCCAACCCACAGCAACTCTCTCCACTCAGTGTTGTCCTTCCTTAGCTGGTGCCCTCCTCCCTCTGGGATCCCCCTTCCAGCACATCTGGTCACACATCTGTGCACTTGACTGTCCTGTCTCTGCCTCTCCCTCTCTTCCTTCCTACAATCCTGGAAGCCTGGACAGGCAGACTTTCCCCTAGATCACATCCTCCTCAACTACTTCTGCCTTCAATGGAAAAATGGTATCTCCTCTGTCCTCTGTAGGGAGTACTCTGTGAGACGGCTGTGGCCGGTTTGGACAGCTGTGGGCTCGGAAGGGCAAGATATCAAAGTGCTTCGGGAACTTTCAGAATGGATTCCTGTTACAAGTACTTCTTATAATCGTTTCCCCATCTGCCTTCCAGATGAAGATCTTTGACAAAAACAAGGATGGCCGGTTGGATCTTAATGACTTGGCAAGGTGAGTGGTGCAGGAATGGAGTCAGACTCGGAAACACCTTCCTAGGGTTCGTGATGACGCATACTTCTCTCTGAAAGGCAGAGGTCAGGTCCTGCCTGAAACCCTGAAGAAGAGTCTCATCTTACCAAATAAGCAGCAGTGGTTCTGAATCTTCTGGGGTAATAGATCCCTTTGTGAAGGTAATAAAAGCTCTTGGGGCTCCTGGGTGGCTCAGTTGGTTAAGTAGCTAACTTTTGATAGTGGCTCAAATCACGATCTTACAGTGCATGAGTTCAAGTCCCATGTTGGGCTCTGAGCTGACAGTGCGGAGCCTGCTTGGGATTCTGTCTCCCTCTCTCCCTGCCCCTCCCCTGCTTGCGCACATGAGCTCTCTCTCTCTCAAAAATAAATTTAAAAAAAGGATAATAAAAGCTCTTCCCCCCACCCAAATGCACAATACACAAGGTTTTCATCAAATTTTATTGATGGGTCATGGGCCAGCCTTGCCTTCCTGGTCCCGCACGAGGACTCCATGAGAAAATACATCTGGGACCCCATTCACTGGCTCTGGGAAGGCTGAGCAGTTAGCTCAGGACAGAGGACAGCTGAACCACACTCCAGCTGTGCTGGCCGGCTTTCCAGCGTGGGTGCAGCCTCCATGGGCACCCAGCACCTGAAGACCAGAGCAGAGGAGGAGGGGGTGCCAGCAGAAGCGGCCCAGTACCTGAGCATTGCTGTCTGTAAGTCCGGGGTTGTACATGATGGGCATGTCAGAATGTTGTCTCAAGGCTAACCGACCCCAAAACAAGCTATGGTTGTCCACAGAACAAAAAAAAAAAAAAAGATTTTGAATAGATGGACAGAGTTGAAATCGTTGGATCCAGAATACACAGATATAACCCGGATGAAGGAGCAGTTATGATACCAGGTGCCTCGGGGTGGGGGTGGGGGGTGGTGGATGGAATTGTAGACTGGACAACGATAGAGGGTTTAGCAGTTATAGGCTGCAAGGCAGAAGCATGTATGGCTGGGAGAGAGGAAGTCCAAGGGCTGAGGGTGATTTAAATGACAGAGTAAACTTGGCAAGGTCACAAGCAGATATTAACTTGAGTTCAGGATGACAAAACCCCGTACCAGCTACCGCCTCTCTTGGCCAGTCCATCTGTTAGTTCTTGCAGGGGGTCTGCGAAAGGGAACACACCGGGAAGGATCTCTCCTTAGTCATGACCAGGACACCGAGCCCAAAACTCTATACGGTCTTCTATTCCGGACCTCGCAGGAGCTGTGAGACAGCCTTTGTGTCCTCCTCGGCTCCTTTCCCCAGAACCGTTATCCTAATTTTGGCCACTTTCGTGGAGAAGAGGCATGGAGACACCAGCCAGACCAGAGCCTCTCCCAAAGGCTGAGGACTGAGGGATATCAGCCCTGCGGCCTTGGCTTTATCCCCGGCGTCCCCCTTACTCCTTGAAGCTATCTTGGCCAAGGGAGGCAAGGCTTCCTCTCAAGTGGAGGTCAGTCTAGCTACTCTGAGAGCTGCGTGCGAGAGCAGTCCTAACCGGAAGACCCCAAACATGACAAGCTGGGTGAAAATGAGAGCTTTTAATTTCATTGTTCCCTTCACCAAAAGCGCCCACCCACTTTACTCAATGCAGGTCTCAGAGGTGGCGAGTCTAGGAGCCCTGAGCGCCCTCTGGAGGCTGGAGTGTGCCACTACTCTAAAGCGGCTCTCTACCCTATTGGTTATGATACTGTTTACTCCCGAAATAAAATCCGCAGAAAATATCAACTACCTCGGCCCGAAATGCTAAAACAATATAATGCGTACACTATAACACAGAAAGGGGAAAAAAGGTGAAACACCTAAAATAAAATAAGGTATATTTCAAGTGTAGGTGGGTAGATACAACCACAGGGCAGGCATGACAGAGTGGTGGTTGCTTATAGCTTTTGGTGTAGAAGTAGCAAGAATATATCAGTTCAGTTGTTGACGGATACAAGTATGACCTTTTGGCGACTCGTGCGTCAGGAACTCAGTTGCTGCTGATACAATGACATAAATAATAAATAAGTCCTGATAGAGTTCCATATGGGACAAAGTATAGTCAGCCCTCAATTTACCTGACTCAGTATGCTATCTGAATCATTTACACAGTTAGTAAACTATGTATGCCTTGAGAAAAATAGTCTGGATTTTCACATAAATAGTAATTCCGCTCTAAGTTCAAACATAATTATAAGCAGGATTGGTACACACATGAATGCTTGTGGACATTCCCGAGTCAGGTGAAATATGGGCTGATTCACCCTTCTGTGGGATTTTCCATGCAATGCAGGGCATCTGGCATCCCTGACCTCCCACTGTGGAGGTCAGAGTCCCTCTGTCACGATCATAACCGGAGCCCTCCCCTGCAGCGAGCCAAACATCCCCTCCTATGGTCCTACCCAGGAGGCAGGAAGTACGCCTTCGTCCCTTGAATAGCTGCTCTCATGGCCCGGTGCTGCGTATAGAGGAGGATTCGATGGGTAGCTGTGGACTGAAGGAAGGACCAAAGTAGTGCTGAATGGAGATGCAAAGCAACGAAACAGTTACTGCATTGTTTCAAAACCAATTTGATAAGGGACTCGACAGCGACAACCGGGGTAGACAAAATACAGACATCTGTGTCCGAACTCCCAGAACCAGCGAACGTTTGTGACGTGGCAAGGATGAACCACGGTTGCAGGTAGAATTAAAGTTGCTGATTAACAGACCTTATGGGGGTTATTCTGGATTACCCAGGTGGGCCCCCTGTAATAACAAGGGTCCTTTAATTTATACGCGGGACTCTTCTCTCTACTCCCAGCCCTAGAAGGCAGCGCTGTTACTCTACATACGAGCACCTCTCAAGTATATGTCCTCTGACTGGCAACATAACTTAGGCCGCTTGGTGCCAACCAACAGATGAGAACAGGATTCCTTAGAGAGTTCCAGAATATTCTAGCCTCTACTTGGCTCAAATTAATTCTCTGTCCCCTGAGCATCCAGAAGAGCAATATTTTCCAAATTGTTGCAAACTATTTTGTTTCTACCTTTCCCTGTACAGTGAATGCATGATTTTTGAATGCAGCATAAATCCAGAAAAATACCCCAGACCCATCAGGAATCACACTCTCCTCCCCTCACCTGCCAACCCCCGGTAACCTACTTTGTTTCTATGGATTTGCTTATTCTGAGCATTTCATATACATGGAATCATACAATATGTGGCCTTTCATGTCTGACTGAGGTTCTTTCTTTCTTCATGTGGATTCAAGCGACTGTCTGGTTTCTTTTCACTTCAGCTTGAAGAATTACCTTTAGTATTTCTTATGGGTCACATTTATTGTTGTTAATTGTCCTTTTTGTCCAGTGACTTTTTTGAACTAATCCTGTAAAATCTGTGTCTTTGTTATGGTTGGACACTTAAGTCTCTGCTTGGCTAGCTCACGATTGCACAAAGATTCCTTAGATGTCTCCCACTGTTTTTTGAGGGTCCCTGTGTACAGGTTGGGGCACATCTACACTCAACCAGGCAGCTTACAACTCTGCCTTAGCCTTCACTTCCTGCTTGCATACAGCCTGACGATAAGCCACAGGCGAGAGCTTAGGGCCTTCTCCGGTCTTTCCTGCACAGACACCCAGTCCTGGGCATAGATGTGGCCCCATGCATGTGTGCAGCTCTCTAGATTCCCAGAAATATGTCAGAACTTGTAGAAGACCCTATGGACATCTCATTCCTCCAGCTTTTCCTTTTAATCTTTTTAGTTAGCCTGTTGTTTACCCAGACTCTTGTCTATCACTGCCGTCAGCTGTGACCTCAAACAATTGCTTCTAATTCACTGCTTTTGACAAATCCTCCCAGGTAAAAGGCTTTTTCACTGGGTGAGTTCAAAATTAGGTCAAATAAGTGCATCTTGCAAGTGGGGTCTTTTCGAGAACATCAGAGAAGTCACATACTGGTAATTCTTTGGAAACTGGGCTTTGAAAGAGCCCCAACTCCATTCTGCTCGCTTTAGCTGCTGCTAGAATGCTCTTTTTCCCCGGGACTGTGGGCTCTTCATTTACAGTGGAGTGGAGAAGGGTGGAGGGCTGAAGGAAGTGAAAATGCACAAAATCCACTGTTCTTACCGAGATTTAGCCATTTTTCCAAGATAAACTCTCCTCAGATTTCTACAAGATTTTAAGATCTAGAATTGTGAAAAAGGTATTTTGACTTTTTTGGGGGGGGGGGGTGGGCAGTTTTCTCATTGTGGTTATGGAGGAGGGAGTCTTCCTAAGCCCTTACTCTGCCATTGTCCACCAAGATGCCTTCTCAAAAATCTCTCTCTGGCGACTACTAACCCCTGTGAACGTCTTTCCCAGTTAATTGTTTAATTTGTTTTTATAATGTATAAATTCTTATTTTTCAAGCACCTCCCCTATTCTGCAGAATAATCTGGAAATTGCCTGCCCTTTCCTCACCCCAGAGTTATGGATTTGCTTGTAACTGAGAGCAGACAGATCTTCACACGGACTAATTTCTTTTTTTCTTTTCCATTTAGGATTCTGGCTCTTCAGGAAAACTTCCTTCTCCAATTTAAAATGGATGTAAGTAGTGACATGTTTCTAGGTGGGCTTGTGTCGTCCATGTGAGAGGAAGGGAAGAAAGGAAGGCCTCTGTTTGTCTTACTTTAAGTTATCTAGAGACAAAAAAGGCTTACTGTTGAAATCAAGGGATTAAGGGGTCATTGACTCAAAGTTTATAGAAGTTGCCTATGACCCCGGAAGAATTGTCCAATGGAAGCTTCCTGTTGCCAGACTAACACACCGTTTTCTGCACACACAGGCTTGTTCCACTGAGGAAAGAAAGAGGGACTTTGAGAAAATCTTTGCCCACTATGACGTTGTAAGTGTGCCCCTTTGTGTTGCGCTGGCCCTTTTGAGGTAGCAAGCCTGTCTGGCCCTATATGGGGTCATCCTGTCCGTCCTACCCACCCATCCTACCCATCAGACCTTGAACTTATATGACGAATAGCAGTCCTACATGTATGTCACCCCTCAGCTTCTCTATGCAAACTTCTGAAAACTACATTAAAATGGACAAAAGGAGTATTTATGGTTGAGAAGAGAATAAAATCACTTTTTTTTCCCTCTTGGGATCCAAACTGGGAGAAGGCTTCTCCTTCTTTAATCTCCATCTGGAATAGCATGCTCGAGAACGAAACATAAAGAATCAAGTTCAAAACCACATTGAACCCAAAGAAATACAGGCAAAGCGAGCCCTGGTTGACATAATCGCTACTTCTCTTGTAGGATTGATTCTGCGGTCCTTCTTTAGAGAAGAAATAAATAATAATTCTAAAGCACAAAGTGTGACAAAGAGATCACATTTCTTGACAAGGTAGGGTAATGCAAGAAGGAAGAGAAATGAGAACATTAGGCAAAGTCAAAGGAGACGCCGTCCTGAAACTAACCATACTGGACATTTGTGTGTCACATTCTGAGCAGGAGGGAGCATCACCCAGAAGAGGCAGTGCAGCCAAGTGTTTAAGGGTATGGGCTCCGTGACCATCAGCTGGGTATGAATCACGGTTTGTTAGCCACGTGACCTTGGGTAGTCTCCTTACCCCCTCCCCACCCCCCCGTGCCTGGTTGCCCTTTTCTGTAAAGTTAGGGTGACGAGGATAATAATACTGCCTACTCCATGGGATTGTTACGAGGATTCAGTGATTTCACATTTGTAAAGCTCTTAGAAGGGTGCCTGGCAGGTAGCTAGTATTATGTTTGTATTTGGCAAATACACTAAGGGAATAGATTTTTTTTTTAATTTTTTTTTAACGTTTATTTATTTTTGAGACAAAGATAGAGCATGAACGGGGGAGGGGCAGAGAGAGAGGGAGACACAGAATCGGAAGCAGGCTCCAGGCTCTGAGCCATCAGCCCAGAGCCCGACGCAGGGCTCGAACTCACAGACCGGACTGTGAGATCGTGACCTGAGCTGAAGTCGGACGCTTAACCGACTGAGCCACCCAGGTGCCCCGGGAATAGATTTTTTAAATGATATGTTAAAGGTTCAAGGTGAAGCAAACTTGAAATGAATGGATGGGTTGTCATAACTGGGACTTTAGAGAAGAAATGGAAATATTTTAGTATGTATTGTATTTCATAGACCTTTTTATATAGTGACTAGAAAAACTAAGAGTTTACGTACAGACCGAATAATTTTAGTCATTCTTGATTTAAAATATATATTTTGGGGGTGCCTGGGTGGCTCGGTCAGTTGAGCATCTCTTGATTTTGGCTCAGGTCCTGATCTCTTGGTCGTGGGATTGAGCCCAACGTCAGGCTCCACACTGAACACGGAGACTACTTGAGATTCTCTCTCTTCCTCTGCCCCTCTCCCCAACTCACGTGCTCGCCCTCTCTCTAAGATGGTTACAAAAATAAAAATAAAAAAATAAAATCTGCATTTTAATAATCATCAAGCCCTCGCTAAATTATAAAGCAAAATAAAAAAAAATGTCAGCCTATCAAGATGGGTATGATGTGAAAATTTAGTCCGAACTGAAGCTTAATATTTGGGAAGCAAATGAAGTGAGTATATATCACGTTAATGCTATTTGCAAGAGCCAAGGACCTCAAAACTACTGCTTCCCATTTGTTTATGTGGGGGTAGTTATTGACAATTAATTATTTTTTTAAAGTTTATTTATTTATTTTGCGCGTGCGTGCGAGAGAGGGCAAGCGGGGGGAAGTGAGGGAGGAGAGAGTGGGAGAGAGAGAGAATCCCAAGCACCTGATGGGGGGCTCGAACTCACGATCGTGACCTGAGCCAAAATCAAGTGTCGGATCCTTAACTGACAGAGCCGCCCAGGTGCCCCTACAATTCATTCTTTTAATCTCTGTGGAACATTTCACATCCTGCCCAGAGAAACTACCTGGAACATGCCATTTCTGAACCTATTTGCAGTCACAAAAGAATACTGATTTGGACGATTCGCCTAATTTATTCTTTAGCTTTCGGACTTAAGTAAATGATATTGGATTGATTGGATCTTTTATCTTTCAGAGTAAAACTGGAGCTCTGGAAGGCCCAGAAGTGGACGGGTTTGTCAAAGACATGATGGAGCTGGTCCAGGTGATTTCACGAGGCCGTAGAGATCCATCGTGGGTTGGGGTTGCCATTCTGAGGGATCCCACTGTTTATTTTTGAGCATCAGTGGGACTGACGATTAATGCTAGAGAGAAGATCTAGGGACATAGTCTATTTATCAACTCTGAGCTTCTGTGAGACCTGACAAGTCTCCCTTTGTCTCTTAAGATCATTTGTAGCTTCAGTGAAGTAAAACCCCCATAGAAGTTTCTTGTTAACATCACTAAAAAGCCATCTATTTTAGCATGGAAACATGGTGCCAGTGTATACATTACGGCTTTACGCTTCATTACAGAAGGGCTTTTTCCCCTGGACTTGGTTGTTAGAATACCTAAAACCTTTTAATTTAATTTCATGAAATAAATCCCATATTTGGAATTTCTCCGCCCACCCCCCACCCCCCACCCCATCTTCCCAGGGCTGTTCTAACGCCCAGCCTAAAATTTTGGCTACTTATCTATCAAGACATTGTCCTGGTTCAGATGGATAGGATTTAGATTATAATCTACATCACAAAGCTGTTTTATGTAGTGTAGACTGTTTAAAACAAGCAGTCTCCGTTGAGATCCCTGTGAACTGTATTTGACTGGCTGCCTGATCTAGTTAATTTGCAGCTCTTCTATGGGACCCTGTAGCCACTGAATTTCACACTCTCCTAGCCTTAGAGATATTTTGAGGTTAATACAGGACACAGTGTTTCTGCCCCGATTGGTCCAGATGGAAGCAATTGTTAACTGGTTTTGGATTCCCAGACCTGTTTAAAAACCTGATTAAAACTGTGGAGTTTCACAGCAGAAAGTTTCCTAAAAATTTACCAATTTTTGCATAAACCTCCAGGAAGTCCACGTACTGTGAGGGAGCAGGAGTGAATGAGATCTTTTTCTGACCTCTAATCAGGATGACGGACGTGTGTTGTTGACCTCCTGAGTCTTGATGTCCCCATCCAGCTTCCCCTTGCCTCTTCCACACTCCCTTCGTGTGCTGGCCCCGCTGGGAGATTCCACGGGCACCTGCCCAGCCAAATGGTGCATGGGCATTGGTGTGGTAGTGCCTTTTACATTGATTGCTAAGGAAAAATCCCACTGTACTTATTACCTCTTTAATGCCAGAATGATTCCTGTAATAGAAACTGAGCAATTATCTGTGGGACATTAAAGTCGCACGGCAGTAGGCTTTGCCAAACCGCGGTTTTAATTTGCTTTTGATAGATGCACGGGTGCTGAGCCTGCTTCTCAGCTACGTGGCCTCCTCTGAGCAGTGAAGCCAGGCCACCTAAGTGCACAGTTCAGGGGCTTCACATGCCTACAGACCCTTGTGATTGGCACGGCGTTTGGCAATGACTTCCAAAGGTTACTGGGAGACACAGAAGTAAAACCTAACCTAGCAACAGAGTAGGGAAGACGTTTTCCCAGAGAAAATCAGAGAAGGGGAAAATCGTAGACCATCCCAAAACATGCATTTGCCTCACTCATTGATAGATTCGAATCACCTCCATGGGAAACCAGAGGATCCCCATCACTCTTGTCCTCGCCCTTCTATTTCTGGTGCAACAAAACGGTTCCTCTTGTATAAGTACCAGCCAAGTTAAGAGAGTGGGTTTTCAAGGACTGAGTGAGACCATGGTCAGTAGTACAAAAGCAGTTGACAAGGGCTGATTTGTTGAGCTAAAAAGTGGGGACAAAGTAGTTAATTATTAAAGTTCTCCTCTGAAGCCAGATAACTGAGGTACATATCTATATTGGGTCTTTCCCAGTAGAACTTCTGCGTTGCTTAAAAACTATTCACCGTATAATTTGAAGTATGTTGTCAAGGGAGAATCTTTGGATAAACCTGATATTTCTCATCAAGGACCACAGGGCAAGCAAACAAACAATATCTGGAATTTCTTTTAAAAGCAACTATCCGAGCACGCCGTGGAGGTCTTGAGCTGGCTCAGGTTCTATGTGTAGAGTCTTGGTCAGGATCGTTGATGTTTGCGATAATGACCCTGACGTAAGCTTATTGCATTCTTGTTTTCTTTCAACCATGTATGATACGTATATTGAATTTGTATTAACAAGACTATCTGGTTCCCAGAACACCACTTTCCCTGATCTCTGGAAAATGGCGCTCAGGGCTGTCCTCTGTCAGTATGATGAGACGGCAAGGTCCTGGGGGATATGACCCAATAATTTCTGCACAAGATTTCTGAAGAGTCTGTAGGTCCCTCAGCACGGCATGAAAATCAACGGGAGAATCTGTACCTTAAGCTAGAAAGTAGAAAGGCAAGACGTTCAAGACGCTCAGCTTATTCCAAGGAGTAGAAGCGTGAATGGTAACGTTAGAAGCCAAACATACAGGGATGCCAGAGGTGACCAGGAGGTCTGCCTGGAGGGGAGGAGAGGTCCTGCCCTGGGCTCCCCAGAGTTCCTTCTTTATCCTGCTAGACACTGCTTCTGTTTTTCTCTGTTGTTGGCAAGATGATTAGCAAGGGGGGGACAATACTTAACCCAAGAGACTGTATCTAATATACGCCCCTCCAAAGAGCTATTAGCCCGTAGCACACATGTTCTCATTTCTTTTCATTTTTTAAATGATAAAAATGATACGGAGAGAAATCTGAAAGTAGAGAAAAGACAGAAGCATGATCTCTACATTTGAGTAGACCTTCCATTAACAGACTTCATTTCTGGGTGTATTCTGCATGGGTTGAGCTCCACGGATAAGCATTTCTCAGTTACAGTCACTGTTTTAGTGTCTGTAGAAGATTTTACCTGTGGTTAGATAGGACTTACCTACACATTCCTCTTTTACTAGTAATTTATTATTTTTTTATTCTTTAAGTATTTAATTTGATTTTTTTTTTTAAGTAATGTCTACACCCAACATGGGGCTCCTCTTAGGAATTTAGACTGTTTACCCTGTTTGTGACTCAAAGTAAAACTTAGTATTTTGGTAGGTGCATCTTGTCTCGGTTTTAGGCTTTATCTCAGGCGTGGAATCGAGGGATTTGCATGCTTTAAAACTGCTGGCACTCACGGTCACATTAATTAATTAATTAATTAATTTGTTTAATGTTTGTTTATTTTTGAGAGAGAGATAGAGACAGAGTCCGAGCAGGGGAGGGGCAGAGAAAGAGGGAGGCACAGAATCTGAAGCAGGCTCTGAAGCTGTCAGCTTCCAGAATCTGAAGCTGTCAGCACAGAGCCCGATGCGGGGCTTGAAACCACAAACCGTGAGATCATGACCTGAGCCGAAGTCTGATGCTTAACTGACTGAGCCCCCCAGGCGCCCCCTACTGTCACATTTTAGAAAGAGCCTTGTGCGTTCATCCATTCCCTTCTTAGGGTCCTTTCTCCCCACCCCACCAGAAAGCCAATGGCTTCATTTTGAGCCAGGCTTTCTATCAAGGAAGAGGGCAGGCAGGAATATGTATGTATTTTTCTCACTGGGATGTTAGTGACTTAACGTGCTGCCATCCCGAGTGACAGACTTCTAAGAAAAGACAACAGGAGACAAGGGAAAGGCACTGTCATCCCCAACAACCAGTGTTGGGGCTGTGGGACCCGGTGATGTGCTTCCTAAGCTCCTCCCGTCACAGCGCGGTCCCCTGTGATCGCCGCCCTCCAGGGGACTTCGCACTGTCAGACGGGGCACCTCTGTCTGCCTGCAAAATGACCCTGAAAGAACACCAACCAGTCCCCCCTTTCCATCGTAAAACATGCAATGGCGGGTGATAATTCGAAGACACGTGGGACAGGACTGGTGCTGGAGGTGGCCTTTATTACCCTGACCTCTTCCAGACAATCCGAGCCTGGCTGGCAAGGGCCTGGCCGAGGTCTTAGGCGGTGAGGCCTTGGCCTCTACCTGTCGCCTCGGTGTTTTCAGACAGCAGCACGGCCGATAAACAGAGTGGCGACAGGGAACACGTTATAACTTTGCACGGTTGGAGAGTGAGGCGCTTGCTAATGAAATATTCCCATCGGAAGCACTATCATAAGCGGTTTCCAACGAGCACTTGCCACGATCAAAGCCATAATTCTGTTAGGGGCCATAGGGGGCGCAGGCCGGGCCTGGCGTCCTGATGCTGACTCCAGCATGGGGACCAGGGAAGACAGGGTTCGGACCTCCCCTTTCACTGCTTCAGGAGACACAGGGCATACAGGGAAGGGAGGGCACACGCGGGAACAGGAAGACGGCGTGTGTAGACAGTCCCTCACAGATTCCATGGCTGGAATGGAGCACTTATCACGGGCAGGCACGAGGAGACAGATCCAGCCCTACAGGCTCCCCAAGGGCCCAGGATTCAAGGGGGACCGATAAGCATTGTTCAGCCAAATACTCCAGATCCACTCGCACACTTTCCCATGAGGTGGGTAAGAAACTAAAAAAATGCATTTTTACACGGAGGCTGTGGCAGTGTGTGTGGTAAAGAGGTGAGCTCCGGGACCCCCTGCCTGAGTTCGTATCTGGTTCGGACATGTACCTGCTGTGTGACAGTGGGAAGGTTAGTTAACCTCTCTGTGCTTTAGTTTTCTCATCTGTAAATTAGAAGTTGATAGTAGGGGCACCTGGGTGGCTCAGTCCGGCTTTGGCTCAGGTCATGATCTCGCAGTTTATGGGTTCGAGCCCTGCGTCGGGCTCCGTGCTGACCGCTCAGAGCCTGGAGCCTGCTTCGGATTCTGTGTCTCCTTCTCTCTCTGCCTCTCCCCTGCCCACGCTCTGTCTCTGTCTCTCAAAAATAAATAAATGTTAAAAAATTTTGTTTTTTAAAGTTGATAGTAAATACAACCTCATAGGGTTGTTCTGAAGGTTAGAATCATTCTGTGTAGAACCGTTAGAACCCGTGTGCTGGTGACTTATTATTCAAGCTGAGGCCCCCAGTGACTTCAGGTGATTTGTCTTCCGTGATCCAAACATTTTTGAACAGTGGCATCTGGGTCTCCTGACTCCTAGTGAGTTGTCAAACATTGAAAGCATAACTCAAAGGGTGCCTGGGTGGCTCAGTGGGTTAAGTGACTCGATTTCAGCTCAGGTCATGACCTCACAGTCTTGAGATCAAGCCCCAAAGAGCACAGAGCTCCGCACTAAGCCTGCTTGGGATTCTCTCTCTCTCTCCCTCTCTCTCTGTCCCTCCCCTGCTTGTGCGCTCTCTCTCAAAATAAATAAATTAACAAAAAAAAAAAAAAGAAAGAAAAAACAAAAGCATAACTCAAAAGGTCGAAAGAAACTTCCCTTACCTACACCCACATTCATACCCTCACCCCCAAACACACATTCACACCCTCACAAAATATTTCCACTCCCTTTAAGGAAATAATTCCTTTTGCAGTAAACAAATTAGAAAAAGAGAGTTTAGAATAGCTTGAATGAGGTAAATACATTGGCAAATTAATTCATGCTAATGTGTGAATGACTACCACCTGAGTCTTTTCTTTTCTCTCTCTCTCTTTTTTTGTAAGTTTATTTTGAGAGAGATGGAGCATGAGTGGGAGTGGGCAGAGAGAGAGGGAGAGAGAGGGAGAGAGAGAATCCCAAGCAGATTCTGCGCTGTCAGCACAGAGCCGAACTCATGAACTATGAGATCGTGACCTGAGCCGAAACCAAGAGTTGGCTGCCTGACCAACTGAGCCACCCAGGCGCCCCACACCCAACTTTTTTCTAAGCATGGGAATTTGCTAAAAGGATCCTGGGGGCAGAGGGCCACTAGTTGGAGATTAATTCATGCTAATGTGTGAATGACTACCACCCAAGTCTTTTCTAAGCATGGGAATTTGCTAAGAGGATCCTAGGGCAGGAGAGGGTGAGGATGCTGAAAACCAAAAAGTCCCCGCTTTGCATAAGAAAGGAGCTCCCAGTATGGAGCCACGGAGTGTAGCTTGCTGTTTTCAGGACTTCTAAGCCATCTCCTGGGCCACACCTCTACCTGCCTGTCACAGACACCCAGGGAAGTATCCCGAGGGAGCCAAGTGTTGACAATGTGTTCCATATCAGCCTTTTTTTTTTTTTTTAACATTTATTTATTTTTGAGAGACAGAGCTCGAGCAGGGGAGGGGCAGAGAGAGAGGGAGACACAGAATCTGAAGCGGGCTCCAGGCTCCGAGCTGTCAGCACGGAGCCTGACGCGGGGCTCGAACCCACAAACTGTGAGATCATGACCTGAGCCAAAGTCGGCCGCCCAACTGAGCCACCCGGGCGCCCCATGCGGGCCTTTTGAGTTTGAATTTATTTTCCTGTCTGGTGCGTATCACAGTGTTTTCTTAGCCCCCAAATACGCCTTGGAATAAATCCTATGTCCGCAGCTCGGTGGCATCCTGTTTTAGTATTTCATTTGTTATAACCCTTTTTAAAATCAGAGGCACAAACTCCTCCCACGGGGAGATAGTGAAATGTGTCTCCTCTCATCATGCGGCAAGACAGCATCCATGGTGACAACTGTCTGCTCCAAGGCAAAATATCTTTGTCATGGCCTAAATAGGCAGGCTCTCCCTAGAGCCGTAGAGAAGTGATGTGGGGCTGGTTCCCTCGCCCAAATAGCCATGCTGGGAGGTAAACGTGTTGGCGGGACCCTTGACAACACTCGGTGGGCCTACGAGATGGGACCACCCCCACGGCCTGTCTGCACGGAGCCTCCCTAGACAGGCAGGCTGTCCCCTGAGCGTAGTGAGCATGGGGCGGGGAGGGGGCGGCATTCAAGGGTGGGGCCACCGTCGGCCCGTCTCCTGACAGGCTCCCTTTGCTGTCCTCAGCCCAGCATCAGTGGAGCAGACCTCGATAAGTTCCGGGAGATTCTTCTGCGCCACTGTGATGTGAACAAGGATGGAAAAATTCAGAAGTCCGAGCTCGCGTTGTGTCTTGGGCTGAAAATCAACCCATAAGCCCCGGGTGCTTTGTCTTTTGCTCTTAGGATGTGTCTGAGCTCCTGCTGGGAAAATTGTATCTGTGCTTTGCTGTTGGGGACACCGGGGCAAGCTTTGTAACAAATGGTGTGGTGTTTTAGGGGAAGAGGGGGGGTCCTAGGGCCTTCTTTCTAAGGCCATGATGTTCTCCTGCCTCACTGAGAGCCCCCTGCAGTGTCTGTGTTATTCCCCCCCCCCAACCCGGGCTTTCCTGTCCCCCCAGAGAGTCAGCTAACCACCTGCTGAATCCGCTCCTGCGTGGCCTCCCTCAGGCCCCAGGGGCTCAGGGGAGGCGGATTCCATCCACCTGTGCTCCCCTTGTGGGCTTTCTGAGTGATGAGTGGCGTCTCTGTTGCTCCTGTGATTTTCTACAAATCAGTTCTGTCATGGAAATAAACCTATAGCTGGAAACAAAGATGCACGGGTCATTGTGCTGGCGTTGTGACCTTCAAAATGCTGGACCGGATGGTCCGACAGACCGGTCACGTCTCTAACTTGGGGTGGGTGTGGTGAGGAAGAGAGAGAAGGGCGGGATCCCAGTGGAGTCTCTGCCAGCTTCCTTCCATAGTCCTCGGATGCCCTGGCGGCTGAGTTTGCATGAACGTAGGAGTGGCCAGTGATCACTTTTTATTCATTGCGTGGAGAAGACCAGAACACTGCACCTGGGCCAGCTTTTGCTCTTAAGCGCTCTGAAATCTTACGTGGGCAGAAGGGAGAAGACAGAAATCTGGAGAAAATGTTCCCAGGTAATGCAAGCCTCTGTTCCCCACCCCGTCCCTTCCCTTCCAACAGTGTCCTCCAGTGAATCTTTGATCTCCAAGTCCCGCTCTATGCCCCTGAGGGTCTGGGCCCCTCTGCAGGTTGCAGGGCCCCCCTCGGACCCCTGATCCTTCACTCCTGGGGCTCTGACACACTCCCCATGAGAGGGGGCTGCTTCACCTGGGGCAGGTATGGAGAGCCTCACGTGAGGCAGGCCCCACTTTATTCTCTAAAACATCCCTACCTCATGCCAGATCGTAGAGGAACTTCAAGTTTAATGCTCTAAGTAATTCAGAAAAATTGTAGTGTAGAATGGTGTATTCCGAGCCATTCATAACCCAAGAAATTCCATCATTCTCGGGGTTCCCCTCAATGGCAGGCCCTGGCCTTAACCTGGTTCCTCCCCCTCAGGTATCCCTTCCCTCATACACATAATATCAACAACTACCACCAAGTGCTTTCTATGTGCCAAGTTCTTCTGGGTGTTTGTTCCATACTTTAAGTAATTTACTCCTTACCAAAATCCTGGGAGGTAGGTATAATCATGATACCAATCTTAGAGATGAAGAAACCGAGGCAGATAGAAGGTAAGCAACCTGTCCGGGCTCAAGCATCTCGGAAGCGGGGAGTCAGGGAGTTAATTATGGCCGATTTCATGCACCTTGGCCCCTCCCCACATGTTGGGTCTCACTGTGGGATCCACCGCAGCCACTGGTAGGACATCTCTCCAAGTCTATTCTTTTAAGTGTTATTTTTTCAGATCCACTGAGGGCAGCTACTCACCCTGAACACCAACGAGCTTTTAGTCACAGCATACGGCTAAGAATCTACCAGAATCTCCCAGGCTTCCTGCTCAGTCGTAACCTGAGGTTGGTAAAGACCTTTTCAAACATCTAAAGAAAGGGCTGGTGGAGATCTCTGAGTGGAAAGATGGTGGGTTTATTCCACTCAAGGAATGAGTTCACTCAAAAACCTTCTATTAAAGTTAGGGTCCCATATACTGTAATGTAGGTACTGATGGGTTCGTTGGTGGATGGCTGTCTGAATGTGTTTGGGTTACTATAACAAAAGTACCATAGACTGGGTGGTTTAAACAAAAAACACTGATTTCTGACAGTACTACAGGATGGGAAATCCAGGACCAAGGCCCCAGCAGATTTAATGTCTGGCCCACTTCCTGGTTCATAGATGGCTCTCTTTTCACTGTGTCCTCACATGGTGGAGGGGGTGAGGGAGTTCTCTGGGGTCACTTTTATAAGGGCACTAATCCCATTCACGGGGGCTCTGCCCTAGGACTTAATCTCCTCCCAAAGACCCCACCTCCATATACCAACACCTTGGGGATTAAGTTTAATATACGAATTTTGGAGGAACACAAAAATTCAGTCCATAGCAATGGCCAAGGAAGATAAATGGCCTTAGACCTCTGTGGGGAAATCAATGGGAATGGGGTGCTGAGAAGGGGCTGCCAAAGGGCAGAGGTCTCTTCTCAGAGCCATGCTATCTGGATTTAATGAGTGGGGGGAAAGGTATGGTAGACAGTGCCCCCTGAGGGCCGTGCTCCTTTCCAAAGATGTTTGTTCATTCATTCCAAATCAAAAACGAAGAAGTAAAATTGTCTCTAGATGACAAGCTCTTATAGACAGAAAATCCTAAACACCCACCCCAAAAGTGTTAGAACTGAAAACGGAGTCAGTAAAGTTGCAGGATACAAAATCAACGCGTGGAAATCAGTTGTGTTTCTATACGCTAACAATGAAATATCTGAAAAAGAAATAAATAAAAGAATCTCATTTACCACAGAGTCAAAAACAATGAAACACTTAGGAATAAAAATTTAACCAAAGAGGTGAAAGATCTGTACACTGAAAAGTGTAAGACTGATAAAAGAAATTGAAGAAGACACAAATAAATGGAAAGATATTCAGTGTTCATGGATTAGAAGAATTAATATTGTTAACATGTCCATACTACCCAAGGAAATGTACAGAATCAATGGAATCCTTATCAAAATTCCAATGGCATTTTTCATTGAAATAGCAAAAACAGTGCTAAAAGTCCTATGGAACCACACAAGACCCTAAATAGCTAAAGCAATTAGCTGAGAAAGGACAAAGCCAGAAGCATCACACTTCCTGATTTCAAGCTATGCTACAAAGCTACAGTGATCAAAACAGTGTGGAACTGGCATAAAAACAGACACAAAGATTAGCGGAACAGAGCAGAAAGCCTGGCAATAAACCTTTACATACACAGTCAACTAATATTTGACAAGGGAACTAAAAATATTCAACGAGGATAAGATAGTCTCTTCAACAATGGTGTTTGGGAAACTGGATAGGGACACACACTGGCATGAAATCGGATCCTGATCTTACAACACTCACAAAAATTGATTTGAAATGAACTATAGACAAACACATAAGACCTGAAACCATAAAACTGGGAAGACAAAAACAACAAGGAAAAAGCTCCATGCCATTGCTCTTGGCAACTCTTCTTTTGGATATGATATCAAAAGCCAAGCAATAAAAGCAAAAATCAGTAAGTGGGACTACATCAAACCACAAAGCTTCTGCAATAACAGAACAAGCAAGTAGTGAAATGCACAGCGATGTACGGAAAGAGAGAAAATATCTGCAGACCACTTGGCTGATAAGGGGTTAATATCCAGACTATATACGGAATTCATAAAACTCAATAGCAAAAAACAGCAGTCCGGTTAAAAAAAAAAATGGGCAGAAGACCTGAACAGACATTTTTCCAAAGAAGACATCCAGATGGCTAACAGACACATGAAAAGATGCTCAACATCACTCATCGTCAGGGAAACGCAAATCAAGACTACACTCAGGTATCACCTCACACCTGTTAGAATGGTCATTACCAAAAAGATAAGGTTGGTGAGGATGTGGAAAAATCTGGCAGATAAAACCTTTCCGCATGCACTGTTGGGAACGTGAATAGGTATGACTACTATGGAAAACAGTATGGAGGGTTCTCGGAATTAAAAACAGAACGGTCATCTGCTCTAGCAATCCCACTTCTGTGTATATATATCCATAGGAAATGAAATCAGGGTATCAAAGAGGTATATGCACTCCCATGCTCTTTGCAGTATTCATCACATACCCAATAGTGTGTGCATGTGTGTGTGTGTGTGTGTATCTATATATATGTGATGAAAAATTATTCAGCTATGAGAAAGAAGGAAATCTTGCCACTTGGGACAACATGGATGGAGCCTGAGGGCATTCTGCTAAGTGAAATAAGTCAGAAAGACAAATACTATACGATCTCACTTGCACACGGAATCTACAAAAGCTGAACTCACAGAACCAGAGAGCAGAATGATGGTTGACAGGGGCTGAGGCTGAAGGGTGAGGGAAATGGGGAGAGGTCGGTCGAAGAGCACAAACTTCCAGTTATAAGATGAATAAGTCTGGGGATCTAGAGTACAGCATGTGACGGAGTTAGCGATATTGTATTATATACTTGAAAGTTGCTGAGAGCAGGTCTCAAATGGTAATTATGGGATGGAGGTGTTAGCGAATACAGTGGTGATCATTTGACAACACACGAGCGTATCGGATCAACAGCTTATACCACCTTAAACTTACACAATGTTAATTGCCAATGACATCCTAATAAAGCTAGGGGGAAACTACTAAGAATGAATGAAATCTTCAATTGGTCAGACCCTCAGACCCCACTCCCTCTCCTGAATTAGGATCCCAGTTACTACACCACTCGTTTGACACCTCTGCCTCCAGGCAGTGTTTTATTTGTGGCTCTTCTTTTTTCCCAAATGGATTATGAAATGATGGATATTGAGGGCTGGCCCAATGATCCTCTGTGTATCTAGAATCTTAGCCGTGGGCAAGACTGTTGCTGTTGACAACTGGTGGTGGTGGTGGTGGTCTGAGAATCTCTACACATTTTCTCATCTGACCTTTCCTTTTCACTCCCTTCTGCCCAGTCTCCTAGAGCCACAGTTGGGGGTGAGGCAGTGCTTGATATATTCTCTTGGTATATGGTGTCTACCATACGATACTAAAGGAAAAAAAGGTAATCAAATTTGCTATATAGTAAAGCTTCAAATAGTTGAGTGATCGATTTCAATCGTTCATTTTTGTAAAGTTTCAGTAAAACTGATTGCGCTTCACTTTATCTCCTGATATTGCAATATCTGATCAATGCGTCCCCAAATCCTATAAACC